TCAGGTGTCAGGCAGGAGGTGGCCTGAGGAGCTGAGGGAAGAGGCCCACCGGTGTCAGAGGGAGTGCTGGCAGGTGCTCTGGGTGGCAGCTCTCGGTCCTCGCAGTGAAAGGAGAAATCGGGGCTCTTGCTCTCCGGAGCCATTGGGAATGTACAGTTTATCCACAGGGTCTGGTGAGAAAGGGGAAGGAGACGACCCCTTTCCTCTGTAAAGTGTGGCTGTCAGGAAACATCCATGTAACCGCACACCGGCCTCTCCACAGCGTGTGTCCTTTCTGCCTCCAAAACCAAGGCTCACCCAGGTGCTGGCATCGGCATCAGTTTGGAGAATGGTGACAACCCAACACCTTACCCTTCCCCCCCAGTACACATGAGGGCAGGAAGTTTTAGGAGGTGAGGTGGACCCTGTGGACAAGTCTCGGGACACGCACTCAGGGTCCCTGGCTTGCGCTGGGTGGGTGAGCAAAGAGGAGAAAGGCCGCAGGGCTGGTATTTCCCTCCCACCCACAGCCGCCAGCTTCAGGACCTGGTGACCACAAAGCCCCCTCCCTGCTTATGATCATGAAACTGGAGTGTTGGCTGGACCTGAGGGGAAGAACCAACAGCTCCACAGAAAACAGGGCCACACGTCTGCAGGAGTCTGAAGCTCACGGGTCCTTTCTCTATTTTATTACCTCCAACACCTCTCCATCCAAATCCTGCTTTATTCCCTTAAGAGTTCTCTCGGAACTCGTCCTCCAAACTGCCTCACAGAGATGACAGCAGCTGGGAAGGAAAAGGAAGCAGCTTGGGGCGGACCTCCAACCGAAGGGGAGAAAAGCGAGCCTGCCTGTCACTCCCACGTCCCCAAACATGCCCTGCGGCCTCCCCATCACTGTGGGCTTTCAGATCATTTTAAATTTTAAAATTCTTTTAATACAAAAGAATCCAGGAAATGGAGGAATGACAAATATATAAATAAGTGTTTAATGATCTCACTTTGCTTTTCATTCCCAGTAAAAACAGAAATCATAGGTTTGAGACAGAGCAGGGGTTGTCGAGGGGACAAAATGAGTTATTGGGAAGGACACCCGAACTGTCTAGATTTTCCCTCATCTCACTGCTCATCAATCCCATCAATGGGGAAAAACGTAGAAAACAAATAAGAAAACAAAAACAAACAGGAACAGAGAAGAGATTCCCAAAGAAGTACTAGCCCTACTTGCTGATCTAAAAACATCCAGATGGCCTTTAGCCTCAGAGGTCCTTGCAGCACCTCGAAGCTATGACTAAAGTTTCAGAAGATGATTCCCTAGAGTGGGCTCTGGGATCCTACAGACTAGCCACCTAATTACAGTCAAACCTCAGTTCTCGAATGTCTCCCGCCTTGAACAATTGGATTCTTAACCCGACAACCCTTTCTTGCTGATACCTGTGTGATCAGTCAGGTGTCTCTCAGGCGACAAAGGAGAGAATGTGTGAGTATGAGTCAGTTTACTGCTAAACCTCACATTGTTAACATCTCAGGAAACTGTGCTGTGAATATTTTCGTGTTTTTTTTTTTGCTTTTGTTGCTGCTTTATTGTTATTAAGTTTTCATTTTTTACTTTACATTTCATGTCCTTTTTGTTAAATCTTCACTTACATCTCATGTCCCTTTTGCTTTTAAAGTGTTTATAGATTAAACAGTACAGTAGACATATACTGTATATAAGAAAAGTTAAAACAGGGAATCATTTGGGGGTCTGGAATGGATTCAGTTTACATGACTTCTAAAGGGAAAAAATGATTCCATTTTTGAACAGCCAAGTTCAAGAACTGAGGTTGCACTGTTTCCTGTGTCTGCCCACTTAGAAGGAAATGAAGCTCCTCTCCTGCGGCTATACGGGGACTGGTTTCCAGCAGGAAGGACTCTGGAAAGAATGTAACTGACACCTGCCCCTCTCCTCACAAGGCCTCGGTTTTCTCCTTCAGTCGTGTAGCTCTAAATGGACCGAGGTAAATGGTATTGGTCTAAAGGACCGGGGAAGACGTGGCCTCCAGCAGTTATCCCGAGCTAATCCTGCTGTGATGAACACACAAGCTGATATGACAGGAGTGTAACGCTAAAGTCTGTGTGCACAACATAGAAAGCAAAAAATGCCCTTTGTTTTAGGGAGAAAAAACATCAACAAAAACGTCTCAAATTGTCTCCAAGTGGCACAGTTAACAGGTGTTCCCTAAAAACTACAACCAAATAGTCGGAGCAGACAGTGGGGCACAGGCCACCCGGGATATGTCTCCCTCACAGCATCTTCATTCTCCAGCTACAATAAATGCTAAGCCTGGTTAAGCCCTTAGACAAAAAGGCCACGTCTGTCGGGATACTAAAAGATTGCTAGTCTCCACTAAGGCACACCATACCTAAATGATATGTCGGCAGGAATGTTGCTGAATTTCCCCAACTGTAAATGACCCTGAACGTAAAAAAGTACAAAACACAGCAAGACAATTTACATATATGTAGGATCATACCATCTTTCCGGCGTGCACCTCTGGCTCCTCCCATCAGAAGATTAAATAGAATATTTATACATATCCTTTATACACATCTTTTCCTCCCTGGGTGCTTGTCCTTGTCTGAGGCCACCCGTGGCTATGGGCCACACTGCTGCACAGGAGTCCAGTTTGAATTTGTTTCTTGCTTAGGGTATGATCTGGGTCTTCTCTTAATTTTTCCGGATGTCCGCATATACCACAGACTCTGACTTGTTAATCTTGTCACTGTGGTGTCCTCCAGAGTGGTCTAGCTGCGCATATATGACTGGGCCCTGGAGAAGAGAGGTTGGATTAGAGGTCTGGACACCTGGCGGTGCCTTCAGGAGCAGGGTAGAAGCAGCCGTTAGAGTGACAGAGCAAAGTCCCCTCTTTAGAAAGCCTTCAGGAGGACTTCTTAGGAACCCTACGTCCCAGTGGACTGCCAGCCACTGTTAAAGCTGGTGCACCCAGAGGTGTTACATTATTCTGTCTACTTTTGTATCCATTTGGGAATTTCTATAACAATACAATACTCCTTCTCAAGAACTGCCCATCTCTTAAGATACCTGTCACGCAATTCCTCAAGCCTGCTATTGGGATCACAGTCATAAGGACTAAGACGGGCACTTCTGCCAACCTGAGACCCCACCCCCCTGAAATCGTGAGCTCCAGAATGATACACCTAAGAAACCAACCCACAGACACAATCTGAACTGGTCACTTTATACAAACAGGTACTTAAACAGATTTCAAATATTCCTTTTTTGTTGTTGAGAGTTTTTGTTATTGTTGTTTTTAACTGAATTTATTGGGGTGACATTTGTTAGTAAAAATTTTGTATGTTTCGGGGGTACGATTCTATACGACATCATCTGTGTGCTGTGTGTTCACCACCCCAAGTTAAGTCTCCATTCATCACCATTTAGCCCCCTTTACCCTCTGATACCGCCCCTGAACCCCCCTTCCCTCCGGTAAGGACCATACCGTTATCTATGAGGTTTTTTGTTTTGTTTTGCTTAATCTTTTCATCTTTTTCACCCTCTCCCCAACCGCTATCAGCCTGTTCTCTGTATCTATGAGTCTGTTTCTATTTTGTTTGCTTGTTTATTTTGCTCATTAGATTCCACTCGTAAGTGAAATCATGTGGTATTTGGCTTATTTCACTTAGCATAATACTCTCCAGGCCTATCCATGATGTCTGAAGGGGTAAGATTTCCTTCCTTTTTATGGTGGAGTAGTATTCCACATACAAATACTCCTCCACATACTACCAATAGTGTGATTCTTTCAGTCTGGCCCTACCATAACTAATAAAAATATTGCTTCTTTGATATCTAAGATCATGTAACTGTTTTTCCCATTTTAAAATAAAAAAACAAGAACAGTCAGGATGTATAGACATATAAAGAGAAATCCTAGATGGTCTAAAGTAGAAGAGATGAAGAAGAGAGCTGTCGGTCCCAGAGCCAAGGAAGGTGGGGCTGCCTGGGGCAGAGGGGTGCCTCTGACCCTTGGGGGCACCGGTCAGGGTTCAAACATCTGACAGGTGGCTGCACATCCTGACCTTATAGTCCCAAAGTTTCTAAAATTATAAACTGCTACAAGAAAAACAAAACAGCCCTGGTTTCAGAAGACAAGTTTAATAGAGCCCCAAGTCAACTTTTCTCCCAATCCAGGGACAGTCTCCCTGAGAAGTCCAATACTGTGCTTAAGCTTTCAACTTAGAACTCATAAGCTCAGTAGCTAAAAGCAGGTGGTTTAAAATAAACATTATTGCTCCGGATAGAGCTCAGTTGGTTAGAGCATCATCCCAATGCATCAAGGTTTCGGGTTTGATCCCTGGTCAGGGCACATACAGGAAGCAACCAATGACGCGTCCGTCAGGGGAGCAACAGATCCTTCCTTCCTTCCTTCCTTCCTTCCTTCCTTCCTTCCTTCCTTCCTTCCTTCCTTCCTTCCTTCCTTCCTTCCTTCCTTCCTTCCTTCCTTCCTTCCTTCCTTCCTTCCTTCCTTCCTTCCTTCCTTCCTTCCTTCCTTCCTTCCTTCCTTCCTTCCTTCCTTCCTTCCTTCCTTCCTTCCTTCCTTCCTTCCTTCCTTCCTTCCTTCCTTCCTTCCTTCCTTCCTTCCTTCCTTCCTTCCTTCCTTCCTTCCTTCCTTCCTTCCTTCCTTCCTTCCTTCCTTCCTTCCTTCCTTCCTTCCTTCCTTCCTTCCTTCCTTCCTTCCTTCCTTCCTTCCTTCCTTCCTTCCTTCCTTCCTTCCTTCCTTCCTTCCTTCCTTCCTTCCTTCCTTCCTTCCTTCCTTCCTTCCTTCCTTCCTTCCTTCCTTCCTTCCTTCCTTCCTTCCTTCCTTCCTTCCTTCCTTCCTTCCTTCCTTCCTTCCTTCCTTCCTTCCTTCCTTCCTTCCTTCCTTCCTTCCTTCCTTCCTTCCTTCCTTCCTTCCTTCCTTCCTTCCTTCCTTCCTTCCTTCCTTCCTTCCTTCCTTCCTTCCTTCCTTCCTTCCTTCCTTCCTTCCTTCCTTCCTNCCCCCTTCTCCCTCTCTCTGGTATATGATGCTCTCATGCCAATATCACACTGTGAATACGCGTCAGACACCCTCTACATCCATCTCAGGAAGCTGTGAGTTAAATGCAAGTCCAAAAGGAAAAGAAGTTAAAAAAACACCTATTTTCTACTACAGTTGACCCTTGCACGACTTGGGTTTGTACTGCGTGCGTCCACTTATATGAATATTTTTTTCAATAAATGCACTGGAAAGTTTTTTTGAGATTTGTGGCAATTTGAAAAACCTCAAAGATGAACTGCGTAGCCTAGAACGATTGAAAAAATTGAGAAAAAGGTATGTCACGAATGCACGGCGTGTGTGTGGATGCTAGTCCATTTTGTCATTTTCTACCATAAAACGCACAATAATACACAGCAGCTGGTAGGCGTCAGGTTTGGGGGGAGTCAAAGGTATGGGCCAACTTCTGACCGCCCAGAGCGTCGGAGCCCCTGCCCCCAGCGTGGCTCAGGGGTCAACTGTATTAGGACCAGAGGGAAAACACAGTATCCTCTTCTAAGTTAACTGCCTCCTGGCTCCAGTCACTTCCAAGAACAGGACAGGCCCTGACATTAAGTTACATAACTGCCTAGAGAACAACCCCTCGTCATTCCTAAAGGCTCAGGAGCTTCTGGGTGTGTTCCCGGGAGGAGTTTATACCTTGAGACACAGTCTAAAAATGGCTACAGGTCCTTTTTCTCCACGCGGCCCTGGTGTCACATTACAAATGCTGAAGAGTGAATGAATTGACACAACGGTTGAATGACTTCTCACCATCCTCCAGAAAATGCCCGAGTCAGGCCTGGGCAGGGCCCCGGGAGTTACTCTCGGAGGGATGAGCCAGCATCTGACTCGGGCGCAGACAAGCAGGTGAGGTGTCGGCCCTGAAAACGGGGTGGGGGGCAAGTTCACGTACTGAACAGTGAGCCCTCTTCACTCTGCTCGCTCCGAGAGGAACCGACCAGCTCAAGAAAGGACCCCAGAAACTGCCACCCGGAGGCCCTCTGCTGGGCCGGGCGCCTCGGGGGAGCGGAGCGCCAGGACCGCGGGCGCATTTCAGGAAAGCTTCCAACGTGAGACCAATTATAAGAGAAAAGGGGAATTCGATAGAAACAGAGCCAGACCAAGTAGCAGCAGAAAGCTTTAAAAAGCATGGCGTGCGAAACGGGAAAACGGAGCGCTCAGAGAGACAGGGCCACGCAGCCGTGAGAACAAACGCAGGGTGTTAAAATCAGCTCTTGAGCTGCGCCCAGCAGGCCAGGACGTCACAGACGCGGCCCCTGTCGCCCACGAGCAGGGCGTGTAGCTCTTCCTGTTGTGGGTCTCAAGAGGCAGGAAGGAAAGTGGCACTTTCTGGGCCCCGGGTTCCCGGACACAGCCTGAGGCAAGACAGAGGGGGTGAGGGGCCTTCACAGTCACTCCATCCTTCTACCCAGCACAACACCTGGGTTTTTCAGAACGACTTTTATTTCCTCAAAGTCCTCCTCAGCCCTATGGAACAAGAAGTGGCCACTGAGAGGGGCCCAGTATAGGGGCTGCTTTCTTTTCTACTCCCTCCCTCCGATATAAAAATACAGATTTATTTTTGTATATTTTCGAGAGCCCAAAAAACAGCTCTTGAAAATTTTTTAAAAAGACAGCAGATACTAAATACTCAATAAAAGTTGGAGAACAAAATTGGAGAAATTTTCTAGAAAGAAAGAAAAAAAAAACAAAACAGAATAAAGGAAAAAAAAGAAAGGATTGAGCTAGGACATGGTCCAGTTCCTAACAGGAATTTCCAAAGAAGAGAAAATGGAAGGAGGGAAATTTCCCAAGAATAATGGGAGAAAATATACTAAAACTGAAGGACAGTTTTCAGACTAAAAGAACTCGCTGAACGGCTAGCACAATGAATGAAAAAGGCCCACAGTTTTGTGCAATTTCAGAACATGAGGAATAAAAACCATTCTAAGAAACGGGTGACAAACCCGGTCCCACACAAAGGGGCAGGAATCAGAACAGCAGCAACTCAGCACTAGAAGCTGGAAAAGCCAGCAAGGCCTCAACATGGGGAAGGAAAATGATTTCCCACCCAGAATCCTATCCAACCAGATTCTCACTCAAGCTCGAGGGAGGAGGCAATGATTTTAGGACATGCTGAAAACAGGTGTATTAGCTCCCAGGGTTGGTGGTCAGGGGGCTGGAATGGGGCTCACCGGGCTGCGATCAAGGTCAGCAGGGCTGCCTTCCTGCTGGGGCTCCAGGGGGACCTGCCTCCTCACCTTCCCAGCTGATGGAAGCTGCCTGCGTTCCTTGCCTTGTGACCCAGCCTCCCTTGTCAAAGCCAACAGCGTGACCTCTGTTGCAAATCTCTCTGAATCTGACCCTGTGGCCTCCCTGCAGTCACCCTGGGCCCACACAGATCATTCAGGAAAATCTCCTTGTCTCAAGATCCTTAACACAGCTGCAAGGGCCCTTCTGACCGGTAAGGTCACATATCCCACAGGTTCCGGGGGCAAGGACGTGGACATCTTTGCAGGTCATTAAGCTGCCTCAAAATTTTTATCTCCCGTGCACTCTTTCTCAAGAAGCTATGGAGGATACGTTCCACCACAACGTGGGAATAAGCTAAACAGGTGAAGACTAACAGAGGTCCAAAAGGAGAGAGCTAAGAAAATTCCTTGGGAGGGGAGGCCCAGGATGGCCGTGACCCTCCAGCCCGAAGCACAGCAGCGCCAGGGGCTCGAACGGGTGCGCCTCCAGGACGGAATGAGGCCAGCGGAGCGCGTGAACGTGGGGTGGCCGAATGTGCTCAGAGGTTTTCACGGGAGAGTTCTGAGATGGGTGCAAGTACGTACTTAGAAGATTAAGCAAACAAAAAACAAGGCACATATGAGCTCTATAAAAACATGACAGTTGTACAAGAAAGAAAATGTATGTGGTACAAGGGTGAAAGGAAACAGGACACGTCACATTGAAAAACATCTACCTAAACACCATGAGATAAGCATCCTGGGAGGAGGCGTGTGTGCACAGCAGGGGCGCGTGTGTTGGCAAGAAGGGCTGTGGGGAAGAAAGAAGCCGATTCTCATTTCCTTACTATGGAGTCAATAAGTAGTATCTAAAACTGAAAAATCTAGAAATACAATATGAAGATAAATATCAGAAGAAGTGGCTGAAAGAATGGAAAGTGTTTGGCTATTCTTCCTTTAAAGCCTTTTTCTCTTTCCTTTGCTTCTGAGGCCCCAGCCGGGTTGCTTGGGATTTCTGCCACGCCGCAGTTAGTTACCGTAGCACAGCAAACAGCCTTAGCCACAGTGCCAGATGCCGGGCTAGGTTCCAAATAAAAGTGATGTCTCTTCGGTACTTTCTACAAGAAGTAGAAGAATAAACCTCTCCTTGTTCGTCCAGCCTACTAATTACTCAGCTCCATGCCGACTTTCAATTTCTTCTGAAGAATTCATACAAAATAATTTTTCTGTTTTATTATCAATACCAAGATCAACTTCCCCCTGCTAATTTCTTGTCTTATAAAGCACCTCAGTGTGGAATGCAACTCACTGGATTTATTTCCCTGAGCAATTAAGGAATATTTTACACCCGATGAAGCCACCTCCTGGTGCCATGTGAGCCACGGGGCCATATCCAGAGAGAACAGTCTGTTAGCGGTGCTCTGGTGGGAACCTTCTCTCGGGTCAGGTTCCTCTGCACATGTCTGTGTGTGGTCCTCCTGAAGCAGCTCCTTAACTCCTCTCCCTTTCTCTGTGTCCATCTGTCTGTCTGTCTATGCGTGTGCCGCTCTCTCCCGTGCCCAGGGTAGGGACAGCGCCCACCTGCAGAGCCCCGGGGCAGTCGCCTGTTACCTGGTGAGATCCAGAAGGCAGGCTCTTTACTAGACCCTCTGTGTCGGAGGGGGGCTTCCGCGGAGCCTGCTTAACCGGCGACACACTCTCTGAGGTGCTGCAGCTGATACGTTGGCAATTTGGAGAACAAACGTAAAAAAAAAAGGGTTTAAACAAATGGAAACAAAAATACAGAAATGCAAGTGATGGCAAGGGGAAGGAGCAGATGTATAAGAACAAAACACAACAAAACAATGGCATCAAAACAATCACATATCTGGAAGCTGTATCACTGACGCGTGTGGTTCCACGTCCGTGAAGCTACTGCCGGGAACGTGGGAGCCCGCGGCCTGTTTGAGGATGGCATCTACTGGACGGGATTCCCGCTACGGTGAGCGTGCATGTGTCCTTGGCACTTTGCCTTTCCCCGCCATCAACCCTCCTTTGGGATAAAGGCTTAAGGGGGCAGCCTACACCTTCTTAAGGGCAATTCCCTTTTGCGATCATCGAAGGCAAACCTCTTCTGAATGCATTTCAGATATTACAGATATACACCCAGGCTCAGAGTCTTGGCTCCTCTCACTCCTTCTGTTCCCTGGATTCCCACATTTTGTTTCTCCACCAAGACAATAACCAAACTCAAGAAGACCCAGGGTGGTGTGGAGATAAGAAGCTGTGGTGTGCCACGTCACGTGGGCTGAACTCTTCCAGGGCAGAGGGGTCTTAACAACAAGCCCGATCTCATAAACAAATCAGGAAAGTGAACGCCAGGAGGTAACTCATTAGGGATTCCCTAATGGGATACGTCATCAGCAGAGCTTCAATCTTTTATGATGTATTTTTTCTAATCTTAGGGGTTTGGGGATCACATTTAAAGTGTCACTAGTAAGACTAAAGCATCCAATGCATTCTCTACTGTGCTCTGAAATAGGAGGTTTTTCGACCCAAAACAAAAACGGTTTGACTACTCTAACACAAAGAGGGTCCCCATCATTAATAATACAGTTCACATATAAAAAAGAAACACACACACACACACACGCACACGCACACACACACGTGCACATTTTACATGAAAAGCATCCAGATTCCGATGATCATAAGCCTCCGTGGAACCTGAAGACCCCGTGTCACCGGGATGGTGTGCTCAGTGTGCTTCTAATACAGACACGGACATACTGGTGGACAAACCACTGTCGCTGTTGGGTTAGCTCAGAGCTAGCTGGTTAGTTGCCAACAAGGAAAATGGGCCGAACACACACATGAATATTAACAGCAACGGGCAACGGGATTAGTTACCATGTGTCTAGTGGGTAGGAGACCCAGCCCTGTTACAGTCCCAGTGTGGCGTCTACGTCAGCTTTTCTGACCAAGTGGAGAGAAGCAGGATCTGATCCCGGCACACCGAGGTGGGAAAGGCAGGAGGGGAAAAAAACGAAGTAAGAACAGCAGCCTTCACGATGCCATGCAGGATTCTACGGCACGCGCTCCGCCCCTTCATTAACCCAAAAGCAAGAACTACAGAGGCCGGCATGTCACCGCCTTGGATTAGTCTCATGTTGAAAACCAACACTCCAGTTACGTCATCAAAAACACTCACCATGCAAGAGGGTAGATACAGGTCAGCAGGACAGAGGCATTCCAAGCAAATAAAATCTGAATTTGAACACTCAGACTCGTTAAAACACAGCATTCCTCCTAAGCACTAGAACCGCAGAGCCCAAGAGGGGGAGGTTCCCACAGCCGCCAGCGGGGGCGGGGCACGCAAGCCTCGGAGCTGGGTGAAGGTTAGCGTGCACCTGAGGCCCAGCTCGTGTTAGGGATCCAGCCTCCACTCTGTCTTACCACAGGTCCTACTTAGCTTATGTGGGTTAGCTTTCCAGCTGGAGTGGGGAGAAGAGACGGTCCTTCAGTTAGACACCCCCGAGCTCAGGGGTGTTTTCTTTGAGAAGACATAGACAAAAAGGTCTACTTTTCTTTACTGCTGGTATATGATGGTGTTCAGTCCTTATTACCCCATTGGGATGAGTCCAGCCATGCATTCAAGAAGGAGCAAAGTCATTCAACTGCCAACAAAACTATAAAAAAGAGAAGCCCTGTGCCATCAACATCAGGTGGGGGTTCATTTTTAAACTCTGAAATTGGGGAAGTGATGTCTGCGGCTTAACAATGCCGCTGGCAGACTGGGTGGTACTGAACGCAGAGCCCAGACTGCTGAGCAGCTGGCTGCACCAAACCTGGGGAAGAAACTGTGAAACAGGGATGCGTGTCAAATGCCACACTGAACAGCGGGCCACTGATTTCTGCTTGCTCATGTCAGACACCGAATTCCGGCATGAGAGCAACCAGTAGCTAACTCATCAAAATTCTTTCTTCCATAAAAATGCAGATGTTTTTGTAAACCCTGATCCAACCCCCCCCCCCC